GAATTGCTTAAGTTCCTTATAGATTCTGGATATTAGACCTTTGTTGGATGTGTAGTTTTTGAATATTTTCTCCCATTCTGTAAGGTCTGTTTATGCTGTTGATGGTTTCTTCTGCTGTGCAAAAAGCTCTTTAGTTTAATTAGGTCTCACTTGTCAATTTTTTTGGTACAATTGCTTTTGAAGTCGTAGCTACAAATTCCTTGCCAAGGCCAATGTCCAGAATGGTATTTCCTAGTTTTTTTTTCTAGGATTTTTATAGTTTGAGGTCATTGTTCCATATGTGTGTGATTGTGTGCATGTCTACAAATATTACCCTCATCCTTCCTGTTAATCTGCAATGGTAGATCCTGTTGAGAGTCCTTTTGTCATTGGTTAATTTCCTCACAACATTCTGTGCCCAAGTCCTTAGGTAAGCTATACCTGGCTAACCTAGCCTTTTATTCTATGCTTGGTCATAGAAAAAAAGACTATATTTAGTCATCGATTAAAGATAGTCTGTTAACATTTCCTAAAACTAATAAGCACATTCGTTGTTCTCATAATAGAAAAACACTTATATTTTCCCTCAAGAATTAACTGTTTCTAGGAAAAGCCCTAAATCCTAATGATAGTCAATCAACAAATACTTGCAGAATGCCAGTGCAAACAGTATTGTGCCTGGTATTGTGGGCTCTCCAGAGATGTGCACCACCTTGTTCCTGCCATCTGAAGTGTCCTAGACTTCTCAACGAACAGGATATGTACACCAATCAAGTTAAATAGCAACCTAAAGTATGTTAAGTATGGTTATAAGCTAAGCGAGAGGCATGGACAAGAATCAAGAAGCTCAAAGGAAGGAGAAATCATTTTTACTTGAATTAGAGAGTGGTACAAGATTTAATGGAAGTGTGAATAGGGCATTAAATAAATAGTTGGGGTTTGAGTACAAGGAGTAAGGCTATCTGACATTTATAAGCAAGGGTGACAGTTGTCACACTTGCTGGCGCTAGCAGCAATGAAGAAACAACCAAAAAAAAAAGTGCTTAAGTGCATGGTGGAAACTTTTCTTCATCAGTGACTTAATTGTTCCTGTTTTCTCCTGAAGTAGAATTTCAGAAAAGCTTCCACCTAGGACATACAGCAGCTATTTTAGTTCCTATAAGGCTCACCTCAGTAGGAAATCCTCCCAGACTTTTCACCCAAGTAAAATTTCAGCAGGAAGACAGGAATAAGATATACTGAAAAGTTATTGCTCATGACTACAGTTTGGTAATAAAGGCCTGATTCAGTCTCATTGGCAATTTTTTTTTTTTTGAGACAGAGTCTCCTTCTGTCCCCCACGCTAGAATGCAGTGGTGCGATCTCGGCTCCCTGTTACCTCTGCTGCCCGGGTTCCAGTGATTCTCCTGCCACAGCCTTCAGAGTAGCTGGGATTACAGGTACCTGTCACCGTGCCCATCTCATTTTTGTAGTTTTTAGTAGAGGTGGGGTTTTACCATCTTAGCCAGGCTGGTCTTGAGCTCCTGACCTCCTGATCCACCCACCTTGGCATCCCAAAATGCTGGGATTATAGGCGTGAGCTACCACGCCTGGCCTCATTGGCAAATTTAATAGAGCTCATTGCTGAGATTTATCTTGATTTTGAATCCTAACATAAGGAGATATTTCTAAATTCACTATTTTTCTACACATAGGTGGCTATTGATATTTATCACTGTAGGTAAATATCATAATTTTATAGCAGTTTCTGTTAACCTCTTAAAGTTTCTTTTTATTTCTTTTTTTTTTTTTTTTTTTTTTTTTTTTGAGGTAGAGTTTTGCTCTTGTCGCCTAGGCTGGACTGCAGTGACTCGATCTCACCTCACTGCAACCTCTGCCTCCCAGGTTCAAATGATTCTCCTGCTTCAGCCTCCTGAGAAGCTGGGATTATAGGGATCCACCACCATGCCCAACTAATATTTCCATTTTTGGTAGAGACAGGGTTTCACCATGTTGGCCAGGCTGGTCTCGAACGCCTGACCTCAGGTGATCTACCTGCCTTGGCTTCCCAAAGTGTTGGGATTACAGGTGTGAGCCACCGTGCCTAGTCAGTCTCTTAAAGTTTCTTTTACATTAAAGCATTTACTAGTATTACAAACTATTTTAATCCTATTTTTTGTTTTGTAAAGCAGATTTTACATTGAATAGAATCTATATTGAGACTCTGATTATATTTACTTATTAAAAGCAAACCCATTAGTGCATTTAATTTTGAAGTCAAACATCTGTCTAGTTTTATTCTTTATTATATAGCTAAAGGAAAAATAATGCCGCACAGAAATGCAACTAGTTTTTCCAACATAGTAAAGTTAGAATCTTGAGACAGTCTACTCACTTTATTTTTATTTTATTTTTTAGTCTTTTGGCCAGTAGCAAATTGATGTGGCCTTGTGCATGATTCTGAATATCCACCCTTGTTCAGCTGTATGAATTGCTGCCAGTGTGACAATAAACTGGAAGCTATATCCAACTTGCTTTGCCCACTATATTTTTGTAAAGATCTATATTCTTTCAAGATACTACTAAGTGATCCATGATTAAATGTTTTGGTGGTCTGCTAATTTTAGGAAAGGTGGGAGCAATCAGTGGATTTAACATAGTGTATATTGGTATTTTATTTAACCCAGTGTTTCCCAAATGTGTTTGAACTTGGAAACACCCACCCCCTTTCTTCTTTCCTTCCTTCCAACTTCCTTCCTTTCTTACTTTATTTTTTAAGAACACATATTAAAATCCCTTATAGAACAGGTTTCAGGAATGTGCACTATGAAACTTTCATACACACATGCACATTACAGAGATACTGTTGTTTATGTCTTTTTCTATTAATCTCTACCTTTTCTGGGGCATAAATGAGTAACTTACAAGTTTTACTAGTTATTCTGATGTCAAGTTTAGTGGGAAGGAGGCTGAAGCTCTATCTAAAATAAAGTTTGAGATTGATCTGAGTATTTTAAGAGTTCTTACTATCTGTATCTTCTATGGCCTGTTGCTCTGTACAATCAGAAGTTGACAGAGCATAACAGAAGTTATCTCTATGGGGAAGAGTAGGGTGGGTCAGAGGTGAAATGAGACTTTTCCCTTTTGCCTTTTGTAACCTTAAGAAGAAAAAGCAAATTAAAAGACCTAAATTGATGGAGAGAACCAGTACTTTACAACAGAATTTCTTATTTCAAGCTTTGGTAACTACTAGCTTCTCTGGTAGTTTTAAACATGTTTTATTTAGAAAATAACAAAATTTGTAAAACTTTATAAGAAATAGGCTTGTATAAAAGTAAGATAAATCTGACAAGATTGGATTAATATCTTTTGTCCTTTATCTTGTACGTACCTGTTGTTAATATACTGTGCCATCAATGTATATTTATGTGCTAAATGAGCAACGTGTATTATTTTTCTCTGTATCTTTGGCAACTAACCTTGCAGTGTGCCTGGAACATAGTACGCATTCAATATGTTTGTTGACGTGAGTGTGGGGGTGGGAAAACTTAATTTCAATCCTATGGAAATATGTTAATGGTTGAAATCTTAAAAGGATTATGTTCTTTTGAAAACATCTTTAAAATATAGCCCATTTGATTTTTGCATATATATCTATCTTGTCTAAGAAAGGATTTAAGGTGATATACTTAGTACAGTTGGATCAAATAAAATTTAAAATAAATGGGTAAAAGAACAAACTTGGAGGATTTATACATCCCCATTTCAAAACCCAATCTAAAGTGATGGTATTCAAGACAACATGGCAGTGGCACAGGATAAGCAGATAAATCAATGGAGAGGAATTGAGAGTCCAGAAAAAAACATTTACATTTGTGGTCCATTGATTTTCGAAAGAGCTGCTAAGACAATTAAATAGACAAAGGGTTATTTTTTTTTTTCAACAAATGGTGCTGCAACAATTGGATGTTATATACAAAAATTAACTTCTTCACAATAATCATACTCAAAACTTAACTGAAAATGAATGATGGACCTAAATATAAGAGCTGAAATTATAAAACTTCTAAAAGGAAGCATAGAAAAAACTTTATGACCTTGGATTAGGCAGAGTTGTTAGGTATGATACCAGAAGCATGAGCCATAAGATAAAAAATTGATGAATTTAATTAAACTTAAAATTTTTATGCTACAAAAGACATTGGAAAGAAACTAAAAAGACAGGCTGCAGACTGGGAGAAAATATTTGCAAATCATGTGTGATAAAGAACTTGTATCCAAAACATGTAAAGAATTATAAGTAAATAATTAGGCAAACAACCCAACTTAAAGAGCAAAAGAACAGAATAGAAACTTCATCTGAAGAGACATGAGAATGATTAATAGCCACATGTAACTACAGTGAGCATCATTAGTCATTAGGAAAATGCACATTGAAAACACAATGAAGCCGGGCACGGTGGCTCAAGCCTGTAATCCCAGCACTTTGGGAAGCTGAGGCGGGCGGATCATGAGGTCCAGAGATCGAGACCATCCTGGTCAACATGATGAAACCCCGTCTCTACTAAAAATACAAAACATTAGCTGGGCATGGTGGTGCGTGCCTGTAATCCCAGCTACTCAGGAGGCTGAGGCAGGAGAATTGCTTGAACCCAGGAGGCAGAGGTTTCGGTGAGCCGAGATCGCGCCATTGCATTCCAGACTGGGTAACAAGAGTGAAACTCCGTCTCAAAAAAAAAAAAAAAAAACAATGAGATACCACAATGAGATTACACCCCACTAGGTGGCTGTAATAAAAAGGACAATATATCGTGTCCAGGATGTGGAGAAACAGGAACTCTCATATTATACATTGTTGGTAGGAATGTAAATTGTTACAGCCACTTTGGAAAATAGTTTGGCTATTTCTTTTAAAGTTAAACCAACTTATCACATGTAGTAAGGTTCTCCAGGGAAACAGAACTAATCAGGTGTGTTTGTGTGTGTGTGTATACATGTATCTATATATGAAGAAATTTATTTTAAGGAATTGGCTCATGCAGTTGTGGTATCTTGGTGTATCTGATGGAGGAAAGCAGCAGAGGCTGAAGACTGAGAAAGGATTGCAGTTTGAGTCTGAAGGCAGTCAGCTGGAAGACCAGGAAGAGCCGCTGTTGCGATGAAGTCTGAAGGGAGTCTGCTGGGGAATTCCGTTTTTCCCAGGAAGGTCAGCCTTTTGTTCTGTTTAGGCCTTCAGCTAATTAGATCAAGCCCCCTCATATAATGGAGGACCATCTGCTCTACTCAAAGTCTACCAGTCTAAATATAGATCTTGTCCAAAATTACTCTTGCAGAAATTTCAAGAATAATGTTTGACCAAATATCTGGGTGCTATGGTCCAGCCAAATTGATACACAATTTTTAATCATTGTACCATATAAACCTACCAATTCCAATTCTTGGAATCTTCCTAACAGAAATGAAAACATATGTTCACACAAGGACTTATATGTAATTGCTCTTGGCAACATTATTTATAATAAACATTAATAAAAACAAGAAAAAAATCCAAATGTCCATAACTTGGTAAATGAATAAACAAAATGTGGCATATCTGTACATTGGAATACTATTCAGCAACGAAAAAGGAAGAAAATATTGATATATGCTGCAGCATGGATGAAACTTAAAAATATTGTGGTAGACTCAATAGACTACATATTACATGATTTCACTTATGAAATGTCTAGAAAAGGGGAACTGATTGAGTTAGTGAGAAGATCAGAGGCGAACTGGGGGTAGGAGAAGGAGTTGCGTGCATATGAGCTCAAAGGAATTGGGAGAGATAATGGGAAACTGGATTGTAGTAATGATTGCATCCATTAGTACATTTTAGTCCTCTAAAAATGGACCAAAACTTCATTGAATTGTCCAGTGTTCAATGGACAATGATTAATTTTATGGTATATAAATTGTACCATATCAAAATTATAAAAGTGGTACAAATGGAGTAAGGATAGGACACACATTACATCTTATAAACGCTCCTGTATTTTGCTTGAGGTGGATCACAGATTTTGCTCTAAGTTCTCTAAGAAGATATTTCTCAAGATGAGATTTGTTTTCTATTGTTTCACAAGATTAAAATTTATCAATATTGGCCAGGCGCAGTGGCTCGTGCCTGTAATCCCAGCACTTTGGGAGGCTGAGGCGGGTGGATCACCTGAGATCAGGAGTTTGAGACCAGCCTGATCAACATGGTGAAACCCGTCTCTACTAAAATTACAAAAATTAGTTGGGTGTGGTGGCACATGCCTGTAATCCAGGCTACTCAGGAGGCTGAGGCAGGACAATTGCTTGAACTCAGGAGGCGGAGGTTGCAGTGAAGCCATGATTGTGCCACTGCACTCCAGCGTGGGTGACAGAGCGAGATTCCATCTCAAAAAAAGAAAAGAATATTTTAGGAGAAGTCTAATAATTATAATTCAAAGGAAAATATATCCTTCTAGTTATACTGCAGTGTAATCAAGTCTGTCCTTAAACAGTATCCTCATAGTAAATAACTGAAGACTCTCTTCTGAATTCCTGTTTCTTGAGCCCCCTCTCTATATGGTCTGGTAGCCTAACATCAAAGGCACTTTGATAAATATAGCCCTGCTGGGTGAATAGGGAGAAGTACTCGGTCCGGAATACGATTCTTTGGTGGTATGACTTAATCCCAAGAATGGAACTACAAAAGACCTTGAGTAGCCAAAGGAATCTTGAGAAAAAGAACAAATCTGGAGGCATCACACTGCCTGACTTCAAATTATACTAGGAAGCATTTCCAAACCTCAAGAAAAATATAAATATCTAGGCACAGGAAGGTCAAAAGTCATTTAACCTACCAAGACAGAATCATAAAGAAATAGAACACCTGAGTACACCAATAATGAGTAACAAAACTGAATCAGTAATAAGAATTAGTCTGTCAAAGAAAAGTCCAAACCCTGATGCTTTTCCTGCTGAACATTTAAAGAAGAAATAATGTCAATTCTTCTCAAACTATTTCAAAGAATATTAACCATATTAACCCATAGTAACCAAAACAGCATATAACACACATAAAAACAGACACATAGGACAGTGGTACAGAATAGAGAATCCAGAAATAAATCCATATATTTACAACCAGTTGGTTTTTGATGAACATGCTAGGAACACACATTGGGGAAAGGACATCCCCTGAAGTAAATGGTGCTAGGAAAACTGGGTATCCACGTACAGAAACTAGATGCCTGTTTCTTACCAACATCAACTCAAAATAGATTAAAGACAAACTATGAAACCACTGGAATAAAACATAGGAGAAAAGCTTCATGACATTGGTCTGGACAAGGTTTGTATGGGTAAGACCTCAAAGCACAGGCAAGGAAAGCAAAAAGAAACCAGTGAGATTACATCAAACTTAAAAGCTTCCGTTCAGCAAAGGAAACAATCGAGAGTGAAGAGACAACTTAAAGAATGGGAGAAAATATTAGCTAACTAATATCCAGACGGGGTTAATATCCAGAATGTGTAAGGAATCTAAACAACTCAATAACAAAAAGCAGGCAAACAATCTGATTGCTAACATGGGAAAAGATCCAAATAGATATTTCTCAAAAGAAGACATACGGCAACAGGCATATGAAAAAATGTTCAACATCACTTACCAGGGAAACGCAAAATCAAAACAGTAATGAGATTATCACCTTACCCCAGTTAGAATGGCTGTTACCAAAAAGACCAAAAAAATTAACAAATCCTGGCAAGGATCTGAAGAAAAGGGAACTCTTAATTTATACTGTTGGTGGGAATGTAAATTAGTATAACCATAATGGAAAACAATGTGGAAGTTCTTTAAAATATTAATAATGGAACTACCATATGACCTAACAATTTCACTATACTGGGTATATATGCAAAATATGTGAAATCAGTATGTTGTTGAAGAGATAATCTGCCCTCCTATGTTTACTGCAGCACTAGTTACAATAGCCAAGATAATGGAATCAACCTAAGTGTTTATTAGGGTATGAATGGATAAAGAAAATATGGCATATATACACAGTGAAATACTATTCAGTCACAGAAAAGAATGAAATTCTGTCATTTGCAGTGAACATAGATGAACCCAGAGGACATTATATTAAGTGAAATAAGCCAGGCATCTCATTTATATGTGGAATGTAAAAAAGTTTATCTCATAGAAGTAGAAAGTAGAAGAGTGATTACCTCTGGCTGGGGAGGAGATAGGAGAAATGGGGAGACGTTGGTCAACAGGTGCAAAGCTACAGTCACATAGGAGGAATAAGTTCTAGTGTTCTATGGTGCAGTAGGGTGACTGTAGTTAATAACGTATATTTCAAAATGGAAGAGCAGCTTTGAATGTTCTTGTCAAAAAATGACAAGTATCAAAATACCACATTGTATTCCATAAATATATTCAATTATTGTGTGTCAAAAATAAACTTTAAAAAGATACCAGTTTGGTCACATACATATTTACATAAATGTAGTTTATCATTTCATTACAGTTATTCCCACTTTTATATTTCATCATTTATCTCACATTGGTATTTTGTATGTTGTGTTTGAAAATCACAGCTTTAGAGTACCATAAATGGTCTTAATTTTGTATTTGTAATCCCACTCTTGCTTCAGTCATGAGAAAGTGACTAAATAACTGTGTTAAATGAACTGAAGGAGAGCCTGAGGATGAATCCTTTGGCTTGATTATGTATGTACAATAGTTTAGTAAGACGAAAATGGTTGGTTATAATTGTAATGATTTAGTTGGTGTATATTGTGTTTGGAAAATTTTGTTTTATAATATCTCAGAGAAAATTGGCCTCTCAAAAATAATTTTACCTTGTAATGGACTTTGCAAATTGCTTCTGCAAAATAAGTAGGTTTAGGTTTCTGCTTTCAGTTAGGTTTTAGAAGGTGATAATGGGACATTATGGCTTCTGGAACAACTAAAAACATAAATTACAAAAATCAACATTGTCATAATAGGTTACTACTTAATAAATTGCCCCCATATTCAGTCGTGTAAAACAACAACTCTCATTTAGCTCATGGTTCTATGGGTTGAGAATTCAGGCGGGTCCCAGCATGGTGATTTTTGGTTGCATGTTGCATTGACTGAGATCACTGGGTGGTATTCTGCTTGTGGGTGGAATGCTCTGGAGGATCCAAGATGCATATGTATACAGGTGCCTGGGAAGAGGTGGAAGGCTAAGTCTACATGAGCTTTCTAGCATGGTAGTCTCAGCATAGTCAGACTTCTAATTATTGTGGCTTGGGGCTTCTAGAGTGAATTTTCCGGGAGATAAAAAGTGGAAACTGCCAATGTCTTAAAGCCTAAAACTGAAAAGTGGTGCCATGTCACTTCCACTGTATTCTGTTGATCAGAGGAGTCACAGAGTCCTCCTAGTTTTACTGAGAGAAGACATAGGCATGACCTTTCAGTGGAAGAAGTATCAAAATATTTGTGTTCATCTTTAATCCACCACACTTCACTATCTGTTCACAAACGATTTAGTCTCTTCCTATGTTCCCTGTATACTCACCCACTTCCAAGAATCCAAAAATTCTTTTCCTACTGTTCTTTAGCCTGAGTCTTAAAGTTCAAGAACTTATTTTCAACAAGTATACTGTTCAGGAATCTCCTCAAGTGTAGCTGAAGAGATGACAACCCAACAATATATTGAAGAGACAGTCATAGAGTAGCTGCAGTAAATATTCCCATTCGCAAATAGGAAAACCGGAGACATAGAGCTTCACTGGTTCATAGAAATTTTGATCTCCTGCTGTTAGTTCTTTTATTAGGGTATTCTTGCCTCCTGATAGTGATTCTCTGTGGCTCCAGGTTTTGTCTTCTCAATTCAGAGTCATCCTTTTTCTGTAAGAAATGGCCATTTCTTGCAATTGAGCAGCCTTTTCAGCCTTTCTGGCTGTGGAAATTTGAGAGTTCAGAAGCATGTTTTCATTTTGCACTATCTCTGTGCCCTTTCAGTGCAAGCTGATGTAATGATTTTTAAAACTTTGTGGGCTTCCTGTGTATCAAATTATAACCCACTCCATTATTCAGAGGCCGACCCACATTTCTTTTCGAGTGGCATTTTTTTTTCTTTCATACTGAGTTAAGATAGTTTGCAATAACACCCATAAGATTCTTATGAGCTTTTCTGTCTATTTGAA